ATTTGTCCCAATAGTCCAAACTTTGGCATGTCGGTCGTTTGGTCAATCATTCAGCAATAAAGTGACAGTCGTAACCGACAAGAGTAACAATCACGATAGACAAATATTGCACTAATCATTCAGATGATCGTCCAAACAATTGACCAACATGTGCAAATTTAAACAATTTAAATAAATTTAAATTTGAATTACCAGCTAATTTTATATTCCATCATCATCTATGATCGATGTTAGGAAAAAAATACTACTTTAATTTAATGAAAGTACTTTCCTTTAAGAGCAGCCACATCAAGTTTTTCAAAATTATTTTTTAGCTAATAAACTTCAAAAAATCAATTCCATCAAATTCGCTTGCAGCTCATTAAAATTTATGTTTGCTGTTCATCGCTAAATTAGTGTTATCAGATGTCCATCCGAAATTCCGACCGGACATCCAACCAGTCAACGGCATTTTTTTTTTATAGCATTTTTTAAGAATTGTTTGGTTATTAAATTATCAATTTAATAAAAAAATAAAGACTAACAAACACAATAAGAAAATAATATTGTAATAAGAATAAGTTAGACTAGAGAGTTTGACACAGTAGGTGCTAAGAGCATCCTCATCAAGCTCTTCAAAATCATTTTTAACTAATAAACTTAAAAAAATCAACTCCATCAAACTTGCTTACAGCTCGTCAAAATTTATGTTTGCTACAGTATCTCACTACAAAAAGCGACGTATTGTTCATCGCTAAATTAGTGTCATCCGATGTCAACCCGGAAGTCCGGCCTGTCAACCGGTCAATGGTAATTTTTTATTTTTTTTTATTTTTTTTTTCATTTTTTAAGAATTGTTTGGCTAGTAACTTATCAATTTGACTATCAAACACAATAAGAAAATAATATTTTAATAAGAATAAGTTAAAATAGAGAGTTTGATACAGTAGGAGAGGTGACTAGCTAAAATAGTAAAATAGCTTTAATTTGACTAAAAATTTGAAGAGGTTGGTGTGGATGTTCTAAGAGGTGACTAGCTAAAATAGTAAAATAGTTTTAATTTGACTAAAAATTTGAAGAGGTTGGTATGGATGCTCTAAGGGTTTGGCTTCCCTCTAAGGATTTGGCTTTCCTCCAGTTCGTGATCAAGTTGGAGGATGTTGTTGGGCCCATGAGGGCCCATCACGGATCCTGTTTTGATAATCTGAACTGTTTAATGTGTAGAACTCGTCGAGTGCTATATACCTGTAAAAAATCATGGTGATCGGATATTGATAGCTACGTAATCAAAGTAATTTTGTATAAATAAAAAAAATGAACGGTGAAAAAATAAACAATTGATAAAAATCTAATCCAATGAAATAACTATCGATATTCAATCAACGTGATTTTTTACAAGTATATAATACTCGACGATTTTTACACATTGAACGGTTCGAATTATCAAAACAGGACCCGTGGTGAGCCATCACGAGCTCAACAACACTCTCCAATCCGACTATAGATTGGAGGGAAGCCAATCTCTTTCCTTAACCCCACCTCAAAAAACAAATTAGTCAAAAAGTCAAGTAATGTTAAGGATCCAAATATTTTATCAAATATCTCACGTGAATGTGAAATCCACATGAAACTCACATAATATATATTCCACATTCATATAAGACATTTAGTAGATGTTTGACATGCACTAAAACATTAAATATCAACATTAACACAGCACGGAAGAGATTGAGGTTGTTTTGGTCTTCTTACTACAAATAGGATCTAATGAAATAATTAAACATAATATGAATTGTAGAGATGGCAATTGGAACCCGGCCCGACGGGGACCCGACCCCCCGACCCCAAATTGAACGATTATTTCCCGAAAAATACCCCCGACGGGCCGGGGATGGTATTAAAAAATGTATCCCCGGTGATGCTCGACCCGGGGACGAGGATACATGTTTCAGTCCCGAACCCAGCCCGACCCCGACCCCGATCCCCGCCCTGTATAAACCCCCGATGTAAAATTACTATTTTACCCCTGATTATATATATGTGCGCATATAGGGTTTGGTTGAAGCTATCTGCTCTCACTTTCACACACAAAGCATGCTGCTCTCTCTCTCTTTCTCTCTCTCTCTCTCTCTCTCTCTCTCTCTCTCCGCCGTTGCCAAGAGGTTAGGGTTTCGCCTCCCCCTCTCTCTCTCTTTCACACAACGAACGACGGCTGATGCGATCTCGTCACTGCCGATCCTCCCTCACTGCTGCTCTCTCTTTCTCTCCGCCGTTGCCGCTCCTCCGTCATCGCAAATCTTCTGTCGCTGCTGGTCGTACCTCACCGCCGAGCATCCTCAAATCTGTTATTGATCTGTTACTGATCTGTACAGAGTTTAATAGATTGTGTTAATAGAATGTATTTATTTATTTATTTATTTATTTATTTTGATCTGTACAGATTTTCTACAGATTGTGTTAATCTATCAGAGTTTAATAGATTGTGTTAATAGAATGTTTAATAGATTGTGTTAATAGAATGATCTGCTACTGATCTGTTATTGATATGTTATTGATCTGCTATAGATGTACAGATTTTCTACAGATTGTGTTAATAGAATGTTTAAAAAAAATTGAAAAAAAATATGTCTGTAATTTGGAGATTTGGCGGGGTCGGGGATACCCGATCCCCGATCGGGGTCGGGGGTGGGGGGCGATGGGGTCCCCGTCGGGGATCGGGGACAGGAAATTTCGCACTATCGGGGATCGGGGACGGGGAGTGTGGTCCCCGGCCCCGCCCCGTTGCCATTCCTAATGAATTGGAAGGAATAAAACTCTTAGAAAAAGAATTTATCAAAAACACTCCCTTAAAAATTTAATGAAACTTGAAGGTTCAAAAATTCTTAGTTAAGACTTATGGAGTATAAATTTATAAATTAAAACTTGTGTATATGCCCCATAAATAAAGTGATAAAGTTCATTTTTTTTCCTAATCAAAATACTAGTCTTTTCTTTTATTTTTTTGTAATTTTTATCGAAAAGCTAGTAATATTACCAAACAATGCCTTGTTCTTTACAAGAGCCAAAAAAAAAACAGGGGATTTGGTGATAGCCCCCTCACTATCTAATTTGTCTTTCAAAAGGACAAAAATTATATAAGTACTTTCAAAACCCCCTAATATTTTAAAACTTGTTTCTTTTACTATATTACCCTCATATCTATCATCTCTCTTATTAAGCCATCTTCACTGTGTATTTCAGAGTAAAATTTTACTCTGTATAAAAGTAAAATTTTACACTCTGAAACTAAAAGTAAAATTTTACTCTGTATAAAAGTAAAATTTTACTCTGAAAAACGAGTAAACTGTGAGACTCTGAAGCTAAAAGTAAAATTTTATTCTGTATAAAAATAAAATTTTACCCTGAAAAACTAATAAAATGTTAGCATTTACACAAAAGTAAAATTTTACTCTGTATAAAAATAAAATTTTACTCTGAAAAACTAGTAAAATGTTAGACTCTACACAAAAGTAAAATTTTGCTCTGTATAAAAGTAAAATTTTACTCTGAAAAACGAGTAAACTGTGAGACTCTAAAGCTGAAATTAAAATGTTACTCTGCACAAAAGTAAAAAAAGTGAAGGCAGTGTTTGTGGCGGCTGAAGTGTTTGACAATGACCACCTCTTGATAGTAAAATTTTACTGTCATTCTAACACCAGAGTAAAATTTTACTCTAATTCTCTCAAACAAAAAACAGAACAATAGAACAAGAGTAAAATTTTACTCTTATTATCTGAAACAAAAAACAGAGCAATAGAAACAAAGTAAAATTTTACTCTGGTTCTGTCAAATGAAATTAGATCAAAAACAACAAAAATAAATCAAAAAAAAAAAAAGAAACAAAAACAAAACAAATTAATCAACATATCTAATTGAGAAGAAAAACTTCTAAAACTCGATCAACAATCACAAATCTCAATGAAAAGAATACATGTGTTCAACAACACTCATACACACAAATATATATATATATATACATATATTCAAAACTAAGCGATCAATTCATTGCTCTTCGGAGTAACAGCGATCTATTCAGAGACGATCTGTTTTCCTCATAGACGATCTCCTTCGATTCCAGCACCGGAAGACAATTTTCCGGCCCGTAGTTGATTTCGTTCCCGATGTTCTTGATGAGTTCATCGTAGAGATCGATTTCGACATTGCTGATCACCAGAATTTCGCCTGATAACTGACCGAACTTGGCTAGGAGAGTGATGACAATGACACCGGCGGCATTGGCGAGGTCTGAAGCTTCTAGATCTGAAGCTTGAAGGAGTTAGAGAAGGGAGAGAGGGAGGAGAAAGACAGAGAAAGTGGGGAGAGAGTGGGTAGAGAATGTGAGAAAATTTAGTTAAGGATATAATAGTCTAATAAAATATTTAAATAATAAATTTTGTCCTTTATGCAAGATTTTATAATTATGAGAAGATTTAAAAAGTATAATTTTTTTCTTAATCCTTTTAACAATGAAAGAAAGGTAAAAGGAGTTTATAGTCAAATTTCCCAAAAAAAACACGTGTCTAATAATGTGATTTATTATCTTGTCTTATTTATTGATATAAGTTCATTTATAAATTACAGCAAATAAAAGTAGAAACAAGAGAGATTGTATTTTAAGTGTCCTCCTTAAAAGGAGGAAGCTCCTCCCCAGTCTTCCTCTTGCATTCCATCGTAACCAAAAGAAATTGATTTTTTTTTTATATAAACAAAATGCTATACGAATTAACAATTCTTACTAACCAATATATCATGCAAAATACACAAAACTCGAACTCAAATAATTCTCCATGTTTTGGAGGCATGTCGTTCATTTGTTTCAAATTGAATTTACTTACCCGAATATTTTGGAGACATTACTCATATTTTTGACATCACCAAAACTACTGCACTTTCAAAACATATTTCTGCCAATAGAAGTACAAACATATCAAGCTTGACCGACACCAGCCAGACCAAGCTTGCTACATCCACCGTGCGTTTCAATGAACTTGAGGAAAGCAACTTATTGTATTGAAAGAAGTGTTTCAAAGTTGTAAATCACTAAGCAACACCTCAAACAAATATTTATTCAACTAGAAAGGAACTTGAAGTATTGCAGTAAGCTTGCACCTCCGTTAAAAAAATATAATAATAAAAAAAATTTGAAAAAACACAGCAGAAAGCTTCTACTTTAATAGCTAGAGGGGCTACTTGTAAGTTCAAAGAAAAAAGGAAAAGAGAAGAAATCTATATTTTATTTTTCCTCAAGGCGCCGCAGCACTGACTCTGCAAAGTTTTGTTGCCTGCATATACAAATGTACCAAAGAACTGAGTGATGTTTTCACACTTTTTTTTTCTTCTTAATATTACATATCAGTTCGCCAACCTAACACATGAAAGAGAACAAAATGCAAGTAGTTACATAGAAATCCTATATTAGGTGACAAAATTTTGTTTGCAGAATAGTTCACAATTATTCATCCAAACCTAAAGGAAAAATAATATTATTTTATGTAGAGACAAAAACATGGAATACCAAGGCGATTCAGATCCTTAATGTCATTACTGAAGCTCAATGAAAATAAAAAAATCTCATAAAGGACTGACAACATAATCATAGCAACTATGCAACCAATTACGCATAAATGTTCAAATCTGTGAGAGCACCGCCTTTCACTAACCAGGAGTAAAAGCTTGGAACAAGGCCATACATAAATCCTAAAATGAATAGGCAATGAAATCTCTCAAATGGGTAATGAAGTAAACAAAGCCAAGAAAATGCTACAAATATGACAATCAAGTAAATCAAAAAGAATATCACCATGCTTGGCAGGGCAGCACAACTAATCTCACTCAGGTTATGGACTTGGATCGATCTAAGATAACCTATGTACAACTGGCTTAATGAACTTCTTACAACATAACCACTAAACCAGAATTCCTACTTGCTTAGCTCAGAGTAGACATGGATGAAACCAAGATGGGATACATTGCGATCATGTTCAACTGGCTATAGCCTATAGGTGATACTTTGAGGATGTACACAGTCAACTTATGCTGTGTCAACGGCCATCTCTGAGAACCATACTAACAGCATAATACAAGGTTTAATCCACAGTCCAACTCATAAAACTTGAATAGACAATTAGACCAAAACAATTGCATGTGCTCAACATAAACAGTAATTAGATGGTCAACTTACTTGCTCTCCCTATGCTTGGGGCTAGGGCGAGAGTACTTCAAATATCCATCCCAAGGAACCTTTTTGAGACCTGCTCGAACTGAAATAATGTCCCTGACCCTGTACAGGAGCAGCCGCATTGAAAAGCTAATCCTTATTGAAGATAGTTCTAAGATACATACCTTTAGTTTCTCCAATATCAACATTTATTTGACACAATTGAGGAAAAGATTACTCACCTCTCTGCAAATTCAATGGCCGTCTCTCCAGGCTTTAGACTTTGAGGTTCCAAGTACCACACATCACAAACAACAGCCCACGAAGTCATAAGCTGCAGTAAATGCATTGTGAAGGATTGCCTGCAAATAAGACATGTAATCAAGGTGTAAAACATCATAAGATCATATCTGGATTTTAATGCAAGTAACAGGTAAAGCTTCAATTCACCCAGACTTTTTTTTTTTTTTTTGGTCTTTAAAGTTTAATTCACCAAGGCTAAAACCCATGACAAGAAAGCTAATTTTGCAATTGTCTTTCCCACAAATCAAGATCATGCATACAAGGTTGCTATATCACGAATAACTTAAAACAAAAATATCTGTCCCACGTTCGATACATTAGGATCCACTAACCATCTTCAAAATTTAAAATATGGGTCAAATATTATCACTGTTTTGCTACATGTAATATGCTGATACGATACAACTAATAAGTGATTCCAATACCTCTAACTTTCACAAAACACGTATAAAAGACAGATATTGAAAGTAATTGTTCACAGTACCTAAAACAGCCCCCAAACAACCCCTATAATCTAGTGTTTTTATTCTCCAAACAACCCCTATATCAGTTTCAAAGGTTTTGTTGTCTGCCACAAAATCCTATTTTTCTACTGCATCATATCAATTTTAGGCTCAGTACTAGTATGAGAGTGTTTCATCACAATTGTCTCACGTCATAGACAACACTAGCCTTGAAATATAGATGAACAAATTTGAGTAAACCCAATCAAGATAGCCATGTCCCATTACTAGAAAGTAGGTGTACTTGTTTCCTTCTGAGTAATATAAAAGCATTAAGCAACAAAGTCTAGTGATTTGCAATGTGGAAATAAAACTTAGATCACTGGAAAATAAAACAATAATCAAATGTGTTAAGCAAGCATTTTTAGTGCATGCATAACGACAACACACTGCTTGTCCCACTAATGCAGAGTAACATAAAAATTAGAATTATCAACGAGCTCTTACTTTCTACTGTTCCAAAAGGCATCCACAAAAATTTTGTTATACTTGATTGCGATTGGGCAAACAGTGCAGCCAAGTTCAAAGGCGCCCTAAACATAGCAGAAACTGTATGAGTTAAAGAAGTAACCACTGTCAAGAACTTAAAAAAAACAAAAACAAAAACAAAAATTTCAATTCTCCCATTTCTATGACAACAATTTATCTTCTATCATATATATTGCAGAGATTCTTCGATTGTATGTACTGAATAGATTCTGCAATGGTTAATCATAACTATTACCTTTTTGAACATAACAGTGTAGTGGTTATTTACACAGGTTCCTTCAGGGAATATAAGAAGGGGATTATTATCAGCCCCCTGAACATGGTCCCTTAACCTGTAAAGGAAACCCAGATTTTCAAGACACAGAAAATATGTTACAATGTATTAATTTTTGCCCTTTCCACCAAAACATACTTTCTTGCCACGGTTTCACGATCCTTTGCCTCTGAACGATTGAACCAGATGCATCCTACACTCTCCAAAATGGTGCTTTGCAACAGTCCTGTACAAACAGAAAAGAAGAAATAATATCATTACATGGTGGTGCCTAGCCACATTTTTACATGAAGCCAATGTTTTACTGTGCCTCCATTCTAAAATGCCAATTCTCCTATTCTTGAAAATAGATCTAAAAAGGTAACAAAAAACAATCCCAAACAAGCAAAAACATCTGCCACTCCCACAAGGTAACCAGCTGCACCAAAAAATGATGGGAAGTGTTCTTTTTGATGGTTTATGAGAAAAAATAACATGAGATGACGACTGACAACAATATAAGTTCATGAAGAGGATAACTTGCAAGTTGCAAGGATGAAAATGTTGGTACGTAAAATGCAACCAAATTTTCAGGGCACTTCAATATATTTCTTATTAGGGCATGTAAAATGCAGAAACAAGATACATCAGCAAAGAATGCTTCACCATCATTGAATTCTACAAATATTTGGTGTGCACTTGCTCTAGACACTTACCAACCCATCCAGGATGCTTCTGCATAATAACAGCAAATGCAGTCATCTGCTCTAAGATAATGAAATCAATCATTGAAGTATGATTGCACACAAAAACCTGCACACATCATAGCAATGGAAGTTCAGACATATATATAATATATTTAAGCACATGAAGGTTGATTTATTATACTAACATTTGAAGAACTTTGGGGAAACACCAAAAAGAAAAAATAATTCACAGATACCTGCTTAGGCCTCATGCTAGGTCGTGGTCCATGGTACTTGACAACCCCAGTCCAAGATGCAACAAAAAAGCTGCAAATTAACTCCACCAGACACCTCTGCAAAAGAAAATAATGAAAGCAATAAATGCTTGTCTGGTCTAATGAAAAGGGATACTCAAATTCTCATTTTAAAAACAATAATAACAAGAGAGGACAAGATGCCACAATTCACAGTATTTCAATAGAGAAATACATCTCAAACTAAACTGGGATTAGAGAAGATGCCACTTAATGCAGTGATTGCAATCATTGCATTTAATTGATCAATAAACTCCGATTACACAACTTATTGTTTTTTTCATTATGTATGTAAATCACATTAAATGGAAAATAAAAGAAGCAGAGTAGAAGTAAAAGAGAATCAGTCAAATCCAAGTGAATTCACGGATTTGACTCCATTTTTTGCTCTCAATTCGCCAATTCGCAAATCAGAGCACTACGCATGGTAGGGGCAAGTGATGCAACAATGGCTATTACAAATTGCAGATCTAACAAGAAATAAAGTCAGTGTAAATCTAAGAAGTCATATGTTAGCTGTGATATGGCGGTGCATGCATGCGCATTCACATATCAATACATGCCGCAGTATAATTGACATTTCAGAATTTTCTAATGCCCATAGTTCAAATTATCCTCAAAATTCACTAAGGTCTTTCAACAATGCATAATAATTGACATGTCAATACACAGATCAACAACTTCAAAACATAACCATCGGGCCATAAAAATAATCAAAACCAGACCTTTAAGTGCCTACTCTAACAATAGTGCATGTACAAATAGACAAGAAACAATAGCAAAGAGCCTCAAGTAAACTAGCAATCAACCATACCTCCAGCTTTTTCCTCAACTTATCATGCCCCTTCAATAGGACATGCACTGGAAAGTATGCTGCAAGAAATACTATCCATCCTATTGTCAATACTAGAACCCTGCATAATCAAATGAGATGCATCAAATATCTAGAAAGTAACATTCATAGCAAGCATTAATTTGAAGACCCATAAAATAAAAGCAATCACATAATAACTTCCCAAACAGCTGTTCTGTGAAAACAATGTTAAACTAGAAAAACAAGTCATTCCTTTTGGATGACTCAACTGATTCCCCTAAACTTACGTAATTACATCAAGTCACCAAGATATGCAGAATCATTGCATCAAATTAAAAACAATAAATATAAATAAATAAATAGAGCAATTGACAATTTAAAAGTGTTCATGCTTCTTAGCACTACATTTGTAGATATGCACACTATAATAGAAAGTCATATTCACATAGAATAAGTATTAATTGAACCTTGAACCAAAAAGAAACAAAACCAAAAAACATCCAAAATGTCTCCTCAAAATTTATTTTGCTTTCTTTATTTCTTCATGCTCTAAATAAAAAAAGGAATTGTCATTCAACAGTATAAAAGGCTTACCTCATTGGGAAAAGGATCAGATATCTAACTACCACCCCCAAACACCAGAGCGGAAACAAATACACATTCCAGTTCCAAGGTTCTGGAGGAATTGACTTGAAACAACGTGTGAAAGAGTCCTGCTCATAATTGAATGAAATTAGTGGGGTCAAAATGGAAAATATTTCACTGTTAACATATCAATATAGATACCATTTTTCAACAAAGTAATGTGTCAAAAACCAAAGGAGAAGCATAAGTACACTAATACCACAAAAAACAAAACAAAAACAAAAAAAAAGAAAGAAAGAAAGAAAAAAATATCCAAATAGCATGAAAGACCCTCTTTCTTGATGTATTGAGGATGCGGTTATCTAATGTACCAAGAATGGAATGAATTATTGCATAACTCGAGCTAATTTGGGACTCAAGTTGCAAACAAGATCATCGTGAGTAACTTGCATAAGAATGTCAAATTTGCAAAGCAATTTGCGTGTAACGCATAGATAATCCACGTTTCCCCTGCTTTCCAACGTGAATCTTATGGGGATAGTTGTCAGAAATTTTATTCTTGCTTACCATTTTCATATTCAACTCATCATCTTTTTAAAGCTGTGACTTGATTTTCATGGTCGTCCAAATATTTAAGAATGCTCTGATGAAAATGACATAAATTTCCCATCTGATGCATGCAACGCTCACAGTGATTATATCAAAAACCAACTCCAAAATAAATAAATATATATATGATCTGCTATAAAGAAGGCCACTACAATGTCACTTAGAATCCAACATGGTGCTATGCTAATCTTGAATGATGCAAACTTATGCAACTAAGTATTTCATAGTGTTCAGCGCATTGACATATCCCTCGATAGTGGATTGTAACACCCATGCTGCATTGTCCAGTTTTATGAAAAAGTCCCACAGTAGTACAGAATATGTAAACTTATCTCAAACTAATGCAATCTAAATTTAAGGAACCAGGGTACTGGGAAAGGGGCGAAATATTCTTTAAAAATAAGAAAAGAATGGCCACAGAGTACATGGGTCACTGATATTATTAGGTATGTGCTTGCCTAACAAGCCTCTACCTCCTTGGGCAGGCCTTGAACCAAAGTCCATCATTCTCTTTCTCTGTCTCTCTCTGAAATTTTCACCTCAAATTGCATAATCAACAACAGTAGCAAAAAAATTGTCAGCTGGAGAAAAGCTTCTCTTCATCATTCATTAGTTCTTTCAGCTTAACATAAGCAGGCATAAAAAGCAAAATGCAGTGATTAGATTTGTTAAATCTCTTTGTATGTATATAATATACATATAGTAAGACCACCAAAGTATTACACTTAACACTCATTTTCACTTCTTTATCTCATCTTACATCTATGAATTCCCATCTCTTTTTTTTTTTTTTTTTTTTTTTTTGATAAATAATCCTTCTCCGTAATGTACCATGTCATCTCTCACTTTTAAATAGTACCGCCATTCCTAAAGTTGCAAAAATAACCTGTCCCCACCCCACCCCTGCCCAGCTACCTCCCTGTTTAATTCACCTTGATTTAATGGGCAGGGCACTACAAAACCGTCTCCTCCCCGTTGTCATCCCTAAGATGATACATGGACAAGAAATGCAAAGAGTGGCTGGCGAACTTGAAAAAAAAAAATATCCCAGACCACAATTTAACGAGGTAATATAACATCCATAAAGTTCTATGAAATGATTTCATCTGAATAACCCAATATAATATCGCAGTGAAACGGGAAAAAGTTTTGTTAACATGCAGCCTGAAATTCTAAGTTGAAACCATACTCCTGTAGACTCTGCTAGAACCAATTTGAATAACATGATTATACAAATAGACAAAAAAGCAACTGATAAAATTTGCTAGACAATCATTAAGGCATTTGTTAGTACTTGAAAACACTTAGAAGCTAATCATAATTATTCTTATATAGCAACCGAAAAATAAACTACAAGCACATGACACGATTGCAAATGATGACAATTACATGATTTGAAATGCTAAACACAAAAACCAAATGGAGGGCTACAAATAGAGTATAATCAAAGAGAAAAGGAAAAAATAACAATAAAAAATCGCAAGTAGGTCAGAAGAAAAGAAAAGAGAAGGAATTATTATATGGAATTATTATATGGAATTATTATACCTATAAAAAATAATTAAAAAAGAGAATTGTGTCAAAGACAGCAACAACAACAACAAGAGAAAGAGAAATTAAACTAACATCAACAATGGCACCAGCTGCCTCCGTCAGAGTTGGTGAGATGTCAAGTAGATCACGCCTGAGCAAATTTGTTCAGAGAATTAATTTACAGAAAAATATATGCCCACACACTCAGAGACATACACAGAGAGAGAGAGAGAGAGAGAGAGAGATTACAGGCGAAGCTTGCCATGAGGTTCTTGAATGGAACCAGAGGGGAGATAATCTTCGATGTTTGGTCGATCCAAGTCCAATTCAGAGCTTGATGTGTTTAGTTTACTCATCTTCAGCCTCCCTATATCTCTGTGGCTCTCAACTGCTACCGAGAGAGAGAGAGAGAGAGAGAGAGAGAGAGAGAACAAAATGTTAGTAAGTGTTCTTCCATAAGGTAATCTTGAAGCACTATGCTTTCTAACTAAAACAACAGCTGTACCCACAAAACATGAGTACACGATTTTGTATTTCAAAAAAAAGGAAGAAAAAATAAAAAAAGAACCACGAAAGGAAACATCACTGTGAATGACAGTTAAAACCCCTTCCCCACAAACAAATTTATGATTAAGTACCATCAAAATTAAAATTAATCCTCAACCATGCCCCAGCACAATGCAACTTCCCCAAGACTAGCTCTACAAAAAAAAAAAAGTTTTCTAGAGAAGAACTCACAAACAAAATTCAAATATTCATACAAAGCTCAGAGCAAAATAAAGCAAACAGAACAACAACAGAAGTGCAAGATCTAGAAGAACTCTCTAATTCATCTCCAATAAACTTCAATTGCAATTTGCATGTGATCACATAAATACATATTTTCATTACCAAAACACAAAATGATAAATACCCATTGTTGGAATACAAACACAATACCCATATACTTCATTTTTTGTGAGAAATTGCAAATGAATCCAGCTGACCAAGATTGATTGTCACGAAAAACATAAATAAATAAAAGAAATCCCCAAATTACGACTAACGAAAACATTTGCAAATCCCCAACCTATATATGCAATTTTAAATCTAGTTCAGTGGGAGTGTAAGGATTAAAGCCTCCATATAATCTAATTTTAGGGTTTTGGGTTAAAGAAAATCTAAAAAAAAAAGCGAAATCTTTGGAAGAAGATAGTTTGAAAAGGTTGAGACATGAACATACATACCTTGAGAGGTTGTTTCTTCTTCGGCCTCCGGCGTCGACGGCTTCAATTCCGATCACAGAGAGCGGGCTCTGTGACTGTAAGAGAGATTTCTCTGTTCCTCTGCCTTCGACAAATGTTCCGCTCGCGCAATCGAACGCAAATTAATCCAAGAATACTCAAAAAAATAAAAAAATGATATCTAAACAAATAAAATTAATTTTCGAATTTTAAATACATTTAATTTAATTTAATGTATTATTACAAAATGTATTTTGAATAAATACATTTAATTTAATTTAATGTATTATTACAAAATGTATTTTGAATAATAATTTAATTTAATGTATATTAGAATTTTAATTGATGTATTTACCAGCTTCTATGTGAATTATTTTGAGATGATATTTTTTATTATGAAAAATATTCAATAAGTCTTTTTTTAATAATTTTTTATTTATAACATTGTGTTCAAATATTTTATTCATGTTTTATTGTGACTCAATTGAAATTTCATTAGAAAATTGTGATTTATAATAAATTTTCCTTACTAATCTTTTTAGTCGTCTTGCTGATAAAAAAATTCCTCAATTCTTACATGCACCCTAGGTCTTTTATAATCATTTGGTATGGTTTTGTTTCTAAATATATATATATATATATTCAATTTGTAAACATATAGTATAGTTTTCATGTTATTTTTTAGATAAAAACTGAGGTTTGGTTTGGCAAAATAAAAAAAAAGTCAAAAAGCCACTATCATATTTAAGTCACGTCATCTCTCTATCACATCACTTCAAACTCAACTCATACTCAACTCGTATTTCATAAAAAGTCAAAAAATACACTTATTTAGTTTATCTCAAACAATCCCTAAAAACAATACCAAACATGCCAAAAAAAATTTGATTCAGACTAAACTTTTTATGCCTAATCTTTTTAGTCGTCTTGCTGATAAAAAAATTCCTCAATTCTTACATGCACCCTAGGTCTTTTATAATCATTTGGTATGGTTTTGTTTCTAAATATATATATATATATATATTCAATTTGTAAACATATAGTATAGTTTTCATGTTATTTTTTAGATAAAAACTAAGGTTTGGTTTGGCAAAATAAAAAAAAAAAGTCAAAAAGTCACTATCATATTTAAGTCACGTCATTTCTCTATCACATCACTTCAAACTCAACTCATACTCAATCCATATTTCATAAAAATTCAAAAAATACACTTATTTAATTTATTTCAAACAACCCCTAAAAACAATACCAAACATGCCAAAAAAAAATTTGATTCAAACTAAACTTTTTATGCCCATGAGAGATCCACATAAATAACTCTAGCCCAAACATGGCCAAAAACTAGCTTATCCTAACAATAATATTACATGTACCAATTAGTATACTAATTAATGTATCAACACTATTTATGACATTATTGTTGACCCCACTCATTATACAAAGGCTTCGTTTGAGAAGTTGATTGGCTTTTTGACTTTTTTAAGCTATTTTAGCCTAGGGCTAAAAAATCTCATTTGGAAAGGCTTTTGACTTTTTTGACTTTTTTGACATTTTTGTGAGAGAAAAAATGTAATGATTATGGGTTGGATGTGATGTTTTGTGCTAAAAAATATATTTTATTTTTTGTGACTATTTTAACCAAAAAAGCCCAAAAGTTGGCTTCCTAAACGAAGCCAAATTATAAATATCAAAAACATCTTAAATTTTATCAGATTATCAATTGATACATTAATTAATATATAAATTGAAGCATGTAACATTATTCTTAAAACATCTTAAATTATATCAGATTATCAATTGATACATTAATTAATATATAAATTGAAGCATGTAACATTATTCTTATCCTAATCAAAATAGCTGACAACATTAATCACTTTACTGTTGTAGTTAGCCAACTACATTGAATTTGTGTATGAAAGCTGGTCAGGAATTAGAACAACCACCACACTCACCATAATTGACTTCCCTCTCACAGTCGCTTTCCATTGAAAGGATTTAACAAAAACAAAATTAATATTAATAGAAAATTTTATCTTGTTACTTATTTAAATGATTAAAGAGTTAAGATAACATATTTAAATGATTAAAGAGTTAAGATAACATAAATTAAAAAAAAGGAGTATTTACGTACAAGTTATAATTAAAAACTTATACTTCATATAAGTCTTAACTAAAATTTTTTTGACTGTTAAAGTCTCATTAAAGGCTATTTTAGAAAGATGATTATAATCAATTTTTTTGTTAAAAGTTGCTTATAAACAGTTTTTTTGTGAGAAAAGAAATGGATTATAATCCGGGAAGTAGATTATAGCCCCTTTCCAAAAGAGGCCTAAATTTTTAATAGTAAAAATTGTCTTTCAAATAATTATTATTTATCATTTATGATTATCTATAAATGAGAAAAATGTTTGAGGGCCCTAATTCTGTGGCTCAAATGTGGCTCAAATGGCCAAAACGACGTCGTTTTGGCCATTTGAGCCACATTTGAGCCACAGAATTAGGGCCCTCAAACATTTTTCTTAATAATAATAGAAAATTTTATCTTTTTATCTTGTTACTTATTTAAATGATTAAAGAGTTCAGATAACATAAATTAAAAAAAGGAGTATTTACGTACAAGTTATAATTAAAAACTTATACTTTGTATAAGTCTTAACTAAATTTTTTTTGACTGTTAAGTCTTATTAAAGGCTATTTTAGGAAGATGATTATAATCAATTTTTTTGTTAAAAGTTGCTTATAAGCAGCTTTTTTGTGAGAAAATAAATGGATTATAATTCGGGAAGTGGATTATAGCCCACTTTCTAAAAGAGGCCTAAATTTTTAATAGTAAAAATTGTCTTTCAAATAATTATTATTTATCATTTATGATTATCTATAAATGAATATGATGATTTGACATTTATTTTGATTTTCAAAACTTTAAAATATCAACTTTAAAATTGAAAAAAACTATTATGTATATATGTGAAAAAAAATTAAAAAATTGAAAAAATTGAATTATTTTTTGTGCAAAACTAAAAATTTTGTATCTATAAAGGAGCATGACGATGGAACATTTATTTGCAAAATTGAAAAAAAAAATGATAATGTTCTCGATTTTAAAACTGGAAAAAAACTATTAATATTCTCAGTTTTATTGAATAGTTGAATCAAACCAATACGTAGAAAGGCAAAAACGTTTAACCTCATGTCCTTTTTTTTAATCAGTCAGTGAAACAATTTTCTGGAATATTACCTGCAAAATTGATAATATTATTAGTTTTAAAAATTAAAAAAAAAAACTGATAATATTATCAATTTTACTAAATAGAACTTATTGGTTCAAAAAATCTTAAATAGAACTCGAATTACTATAACATTTATAAATAAGATTTTAAAATAATTAACTCTTTAGAAAATAGTGAGTAAGATAAATTTCTTAAAGCTTACCTTTCATTTCCCACCAAAATTGATGAAATTTGATAAATTACCGTTTATAAATATTTTTGCAATATCTAAATTATGCCTTCAAATATAAAGCAAATATAAAAACGACATATGTTTTTATTTAGATTAATATGCAATTGTCATAACAATTGCAAACTCTATACTGTTTCACATATTATATTATAACAATCTTTCATTTTTATTTTTACTTTTGAGGCCCAAAGCCGTAAATAGCAAGCAACATCCGGGGGTCACGAAGCCCAATCAAACCTCTATATGAAAAAATGAAACAAGGCCAGCCCTGAAGAACAGACAAGTCCAAAACAAAAACAAAAACACAAAAACAAAACAAACTTGTTTGGTTTTGATTTCCAAAAAATATTTTTCAGAAATTTTATTTTATTTTTTTATTTTTTATTTTCTTGTTTTCAATGAATTTTTTTAATATTTTAAGAAATTTTAAATTTTTAGACACATCTAACATAAATACAATGAAAAAAATATTTATGAAAAAAATCTTTAAAATATTCACTAAATATCAAAAATATATTTTAAAAAAATATACAAAAATTCAGTACATTTTTCATATTTTTATATATTTATTGTTTTTTAAAATATTTTACTATTTAGTTACATCTAGGTAAGGTTCATCTAAAAAAATAAAAAAAAAATTATTTAAAAATTTTAAAATATTCACTAAAAATTAAAAAAAAATACGAAAAATAAAAAAACTCAATATTAAAAAAATTGAAACTAAACCCACCAAACACTATTCCAATGAATGGATGTATCACTGATGGTAGTGTATGATGATGATGAGATGCTATAAAATAAGCATTACACCTAATAGTTAATTAAAAATATATATATTTAATCTTTTGCAAATCACATGATTTTTCTTCTTATGTGGGCCTTTGTTTTAGTTTCACATGAGGTGTTGCCTAGCTGATGCAAACTTTAGGTTTTTTGTTTTTGTTTTTGTTTTTGTTTTTTTGTGGTGAACTTAGTTGGATTCACCTGTTTGTGTCGGATTGTCTAGTTCCAAATAAAAACTTTTGAGCTTAAATTTACAAATCTAACCACAAACCAAGCAAAATAAATTAATTAAATAAGCAAAAAAAAAAAATATTATGCCAAACCTTTATACAAAATAATGTGATGAAATTTTTATTTCAATCACTTGAAAGGTAAAAATAAAAAATAAAAAATAAAAAAGTATAGTATGTAATTTCACAAAATGTCTTTACTATTGAGTGTGATTGATAATTGTGGTGAGATCTATTTCTCACAATATAGAGTACTTGATAATTTCATATGAATTTTCAAATCATTGTAAGAAAGATAATCAAAGAGATCTACCCCTACGATCGCCGAGGGTTGTATGAACATCACTACTCTTGATGCATTCGAAGGCAATGTTTCAAAATCGGCGTTAGACGATGCCGTGAAGGCGTGTAATCAATCTCTTGGTAATGGTTGGCCGTGCGCTTCTTGCACCACCAGTCTCTCGAGCCTCCAACCTTCGAATTTGAACGGCCGATCAATTGGAATCCTCTCCGATTGCATGGCGTACCCTTTGATTTACGCCGCGGTGTTTATCAATCGTTTCGGCCCAACCGATGAAGATACTGCCAACTGTCTGTTTGGTTTTGATTTTTCTGATTTGAGCAATTCGAATGGTAGAGTTAGAACCATTGTGATTTGTGTAGTTGTGATAGGTTGTGGGTTTG